CCATTTCCACCCCTACGTTCAATAGATTTGAATTTTCACCTATTTTTCTTTTATATTACCTAGGCATCCTACCAAACATGCTATGGAAGTTTTAGAAACCAATCAACGCACTATATTTGATTCACCACATGCTTTTCTCCCTTGTCCCTCTATTTTATTATGTACCATTTTTTTTTTGGAAAAATATTGTTTTGAATAGTGAAATTTTGGAGAATGCGTGGTTAAAAAGTAGGAAAAAGTTTTGGGTTTACATGTAGAATATTTTATTGTGTGAATGTGTGGTTAAAAATGAGCATGTAGAAGAAAGGGTTTTGAAAGAATTGGAAACAAACATGGGCTTATATAATTATTGATAGGCTTATGTGTATATGCATGTATTATGTATCTTCGCAATATGGACCTTACAAAACCTCAAACCACGTTCTATTTACGGTGATAAAACATATTTATATACGTGTGTTCATATAGAACTGTTATATATGCTAATACAATAGGAAGAGCAAACAGATAATTGAGCTTGATATGATAGCTTCCCAAGCAGATAGGCCATGCCCCCTGCTCTTTTGTAACTGCCAGTATAAACCATGTTCTGTTGCGATATGGCAACTTTTCCCTGTAGGGTGGGTGCTGCAAAATTTGTGGTTGTATAACACATCTCGCCAAAGATTGTCCCAATAAACATAGCAAAGCTTCTTATGCAGCTGGTGGAGTTGATTGCTTATGTAAGTTGCAAAATATTGCCAAGTGTTATTTCAATGTATTTCTGCGCAAATTAGTTTCTGCGTGTTATAAATTGATGGATCGTATTCTCAATGTTTTAATTCTGTAGTTAGTCACCAATCATTAAAATTTCCGCGTTCTTAACAGTTGAAATTGAAGAAAGACCTAATCAGATAACCAACTTCACTAATGGGGACGATCTGACAAAGATAAAAGTGTAAAATCCAAGAATAAACAGGGACACAAAGTCGTTAATTTTGTTGGTTGATTTTTTTTAACATATTTAGATGATAGTTTTGTAGTTGTAACTTTCCAATGTTGTCAAATTTAATGAAATATATCTTATGGTTTATTTTCACGATATATTGCACAATTGTTAGAAAATTTAAAGGTTTGGTGGTCTAATGATATTACTCGACTCACAAGATTAGACATGTCCAAGCCTCAAGACCCTAGCCCCATGTTCGGCCATATTAGGGGGTTGCCTCATCCTTGAGATTGGTTATGTTGGCCTTGGTTCTAAAGTCCGCGAACCAGGCGAACAATATTT